GTGTTCGATATAATTTGATACATAAACTTTTTAAATATGTTCGATCTCAAAATTTGTTGTTCGAACTCGAAAAGAAAACAATAAAATAAAAATATTTTTATATATTATATTTTTTTATTAAAAATATTATGTAAATATATAAAAAATAATAAAATTATACTAAATTTTAGATTTTTTATTAAAAATATTATGTAAATATATAAAAAATAAGATAAGATATAATTATATTAAATTAATGTTCACGAACATAATCAAACGTTTACGAACGAGCTCGTGTTCGTTCGATTATTAAACGAGCCTATTTTCTGTTTGAACTCGGTTCGATTAATAAATGAAGAGCTTTTGTTCAACACGAAAAAGCTTGCTCGAACAAGCTTTTATTCGTGAATGTTCGGTTCGTTTACAACTCTACTTGCATGACTCTTTTCTCTTTTTCAGGTATTAGTGGAACCACATTTGCACTCTAGGAAATTATGAGATTGTTGAAGCCATAATTCAACTAACAACTTATATGCTTTGGTGGCTTTAGAAAGCTCGAAATGTTTGGGTCTTTCAAGGAATTCTTCTAACTGCTCATCTGGTGGTTAAAGCATCACATACATATTGGCTGAAATTCTTTTATCTTGCTTAATTGTTGGTTGCTCTCGTTGTTGAAGTATAGACAAACAATTTGTATTGGTTTTTCTGTTTTTGTAGGGTCAGTCTGTAATATCCCATTCAGTTAAGTATCAGTTTATCTTCAAAATCGAGATATTTTGAGGGTAAATAAGTTAAGAAATTGAAGTTTTTAAGTCACACGGGTCGTGTGGGTAGCCACACGAGTCGTGTGAAGTCACACGAGTCGTGTGACAAGTCACACGAGTCGTGTGACTCAAAGCATCATTCAACATAAGTTCGGCTTTGTCACACGAGTCGTGTGACCAAGTCACACGAGTCGTTTGAGCTCACACGAGTCGTGTGACAAGTCACACGAGTCGTGTGACCGACAGAAATGATCAGATTGTCATTAACTCGTTTTTGGTGGCAACTAAAGTTAATTTTGAGCATTTAATTAAGAAAAGCTGATGTTATAATGTTAGGTAAGGATATATTTAAAGTGATTAATTTTTACAAGTTTAAATTGTTTAATTTGTTAATTTCTTCACTCCAAAGTATTTTATTCTAAAATTTGCCTATAAATAGAGGGCTTCCAAATCTGAATATTCACACCAAAGAAATATTACAAAGTTATATAAGTTTATTTGAGAGTTTGAATGGTAGAAATGATAGTAAAGTGAGGTAATTTTGATGTGAAGAATCAAAGTTTTCAAGTTCAAGTTCTAGCATGTTTTCAAGTTCAAGTTTTCAAGAAGGAGGTAATTATTTATCTTAACTTCATGTTTTATATGAGTTAAGTAGTTATTAGCATATATGTTGATAAATATGAAGTTGAAATTATAATGGAGTTTATGAATTCAATGAGTTTAAGTTATGTGTAATAATGAGAATAAGAATTAAGTTGTTTTAAGTTGAGATATAGATTGAGCATATTATTGGATTGAGTTTAAGTTGAGAATGAATAGAATTTACATGTTATCACCTTCATTACATGTTAGAATGTAAATTCTTATAGTAATAATGAGTAAGTCTTGTGTAGATGAGGAGTATTTATGAACAAGGATTAAGTTATTTGACATGTTATAATTTGAGATAAAGATTTTGAAGTTAGCATGCAAAGTGAATTTCATGATATAATGTTGAGAATTGAATGTGTTGCTATGATTAGATGACATATACTATGTATTTCATGGTAAAGTTTCAAGAGAAATTGAAATGAAATTTCTCATACTATTAAGTGATGAGTAAAGTGATCAAGTTTTAGTTTAATATGTTGAGAATACAATTTTATATAAATTGTTTGAAGTTTTGCTTAGTAATATCATGAATTAAGTGTTATGATTTGATGTTAGGATGATATGAGAATTAAGTTATACTTTTCATTACCAAGTTCAAGACAAGTTTAATAGTTTATAAATCATGTATTTGATATTGGAATAAGTTGAATATGTTGAGTTATTTTTCACTTATAAGTTATATGAGAATAAGTTAATGATTTTAAAGACATGATTTATATGAGTATTGATTGAGTTTTAGTTGAATGTGTTAAGAAGACAATTCTATGAATTGTTTCAAGAATAGTATATTGATATTATACTATGGTTTTGATGAGTTTTAAGTTACCATTTTTATTTATATGTAAGTTTAAGGTTTGAATCATGAATTTGTGTATGTGGAATTTAGTTATTTTCACTTTCAAGTTATTTAAATGGTATAAGAGTTTATACCAACATCTAAGTTTCAAAATCATGATTCATATGGTTTAAGTTCGGTATTAAGTAAAAGTTTAAGAATTTAAGATGTTCAATGAATTAATGTTCATTTGAGCTATAGCCGAAATTATCTTTAAGATTCGGATAAGTTATCAATTAAAGTTAAGAATCCGAAAGTACTATTGAGAATACTATGAGCATAGTACTTAGTAAATTTGTTTATATTTTTATGTAGTTGCAGATACAGCTACCAGTACAGCACTTACAGTTTTCAAAAGTTTTTAAGAAAGAAAGGTGGGGACCCAGACTGGGTATTACATTGAGTATAATAGCTATTATCATGTTTGAGGTATGTATAAAGTTAAGTAAAGTATTAAGCTCGCTCAGTCAAGACTGGGTTCTGTGGGAGGCGACCCCCAGAATGTGATCACGTGAGAACTGGCCCAAGTTACCGGTAGTTGCAAAGTTCAAGTTAAAGTATCGGTTAGATACCGAAAGATTAAGCTTAGATACATACCAAAGATCATGATATTGATATTATTATTGCTGTTTACTTTAGTATGGGTTTTCACGGAGTACAGTTGATTAGTACTCACGCCCCACTATTATCATTTTTTTTCAGGAAATAAAGACGGTGCGCAGGTGTGAGGAGCTGTGGTGGTCGTGGATGTGAATAAGTTTCTATTGAGAATTTTCAATAAGGTTTCGGTTTGTAAACCACGCTTGTAAGATTTCAGCTACGTTTCTTTAAGATTTGAAAAAGTGTGATTTTAAGTGTGATTTTAAAGGATGATTTATCAAGTTGATTGTATGAACTGTTAAGTTTTTAATTTGTTCAATGTTTAAAATCTGTTTTATTTATGTCTAATTTAGTTGTTAGATGAAGTTTAAGTAAACAGATTTTTAAAGTAGATAAGTTAGTAGCATCCCGAGTTAAGAAGGTTTTGAAAAATTTATAAGTATTTTCGAAATAAGTTGCGAAAATTTTACTCTGATAAGCGGGGTGTTACACAGTCCCTCTAGGCCTTGTAGCAGTGGATGATAATTTGTTTAGTTTGCATCTCTTTTGCTTAGTACGTGTCTTGAGGTTCTAGGCTTCTTAGCGCGTGTCCTCCCATTTTTTCGTTTTGGGTGCTGCTCGCTGTATTCGAACTATATTTTCTTTTCAGTTCTATTGTTATTTCTACCATTTTGAGGGAAAAAAAATCTTAACACAACCTAAGAGCACACACAATGCTTTGGGTCTCTTTAAAAAAAATTACATGCCATGTAGGAAATAGACTAGTCTATAAAAAAGTGTTTCTCAATGCAATTAAAAGTGGACCTAGTTTAACTTATGTGACAATAAAAAAAAAAGAGACTTAGTCCACACTTGGGTCTATTTTAGACCCAAGTACAAACCCAAACACTCATCATTTATTCCTCATTTAATTTTTCTTTTAATAAATGGAATATATTAGAGATTTTTTATTGGCTGTCATGTATGCTAGACCTATTATTTTATTTTTGCATTGAATAGCTTTTGAGTTTTTTTACTTGAGTTTGTCCATGTCATTTAGACTAAGTCTATTTATATGCCACATATATAAAGTTAGACCCAAATGATTGTGAGTGCTCTAAGCAGCCGGTCTTCACAGGCCCCACACACGCTCCATGTCTCAGGCATGTGATGTTTACCAGTGCTACTATCGTGCACCCTGGCACACCTAGCAAGGTGTGCCAAGACTTTTTTAAAATGAACATCTTACTTTATAAAATTAACATGTGTAAACATGCTAGGTGTGTCAAGGCAGTTTAAAATGAACGTGTTTACTTTATAAAATGAATATGTGTAAACATGTTTACACATGTTAATTTTATAATGTAAGATGTTCATTTTAAAAAAGCCTTGGCACACCTTGCTAGGTCCCGGGCGCACCTAAGTATTTGCGACGTTTACAACCCCTAAAAACATCTTTATTTCTCGCGTACCTCTCCAATCCTGCCACGTGCTAGACCTTCATGATAATATGATCAGTAGTAACATATTATCACCGTCCCTTCTTCGATACGTCTTCCATCACTCTACTCCAAATCACAGAGCTTTATAGGTAGACATGCCTTCATTTTGTCCTCGATTTTATTTCTAATTTGCATTTGTTTCCTTCATAACACCACACCGTTTGCGCGAGGTAAAATTTTATTGCGGCCAGCAGTTGGTGCTTGTTCGATCAACATGTTTTATTGTTTCGAGATTGAATAATTTGCTGGTAACTGGGTTTCGTATTTGCCCCTTTTAATTGATTTTGTGAAGCGATTTGAAGGTAATAGGAACTTCGAGCTAACTGTATGTTAAAATGATTTGATACATTCATTCACTTTCTGTTCTCAATTTCAATGAATTATGCTGACATTTTGGCTTCGATCTTGGCTCTTGCTTTACTGGTCCCAATTCATATTTGATTGTGCAATCGTTAATCACCCTGTACCGTTGTTTGAACATTTGTGTCAGCGTGTGTGTATTCTATGTGTTACGTTTGTGATTTATGCAAGTGCATGTGATGTTATATCTGTGTACCCCCGATATAACTGTGTGGTTTCTAGTTTCATATGTTATTTTTATAGTTTTGCTTTTGTTTTTGGAGGTTTTGGCAGTATAAATTTTGATCTTTGACGTTCTGATATTCTAGTGTTAATCGTAAGATTGGGAAAATGAGCAACACAATTGGGAATAACTTGCGGCATCAGAGTTTGCTTTCTCCCTCAGTATTAGAGCACAAGAATCGAAGAAATTCTTCCGCTTGCATTGGGGGAAATACCTTTTCCCATCCACAAGCAAATTCACTGATACACAGATCTTCTATATCAGCAGAGTTTCGTGGCAACAGACTCACACTTCAGAAAAAGAAATCACTAATGGGGAAGCAGCGTGCTATTACAAGATCATTTAAGGCTGTTTTGGCTGCTGATTCGCCCTCTGCGGTAATAATACACCAACCATTTTAAGTTAGGATTTCTCTTTTATTCCTTCTATAATTCTTTTAACGAAAGAGGGGCTACTTTTTCCTGTAACTATACATTATTATTGTCATTGTCTTCTCTGAATAATGGTATATATAATGTTCGTTATCTATGGGGTGCTAACCTTATAAAGGCTGGACCAAATTATTAGAATATTGGGTTAGAGAGGTGAACACAGAAAATGTTTACTTATGATCATTTTTCATTTCCTAACAGCTTACGGAGAAGTTCAACCTTGATCAGAATATAGAACTACAGGTATACATAGTTCTTCTGATTTTTGGAATTGTTGGGTATGGATGGGATGCTTATAATGTAAAGAATATTTTGGGATGTTGACTACAAATGATATCCATGGACATTAGAATAACGGATGCCTATAAACAGGTTGATGTTGGGATTGCCACTTCAGGTTCTGCTTCAGTTGTAAATGTTCAAGTTACAAATAGTGATCGCCTACTCCTACACTGGGGGGCAATCGGTAGTCAAAAAGAGTATGTTCAGTTGGAGTTGGATTTCATACTAATAATAAATGGTACACATAACTAGACTATCAAAAGTTTGTTACTTATCTATTTTCAAATATTTCCTGAACAGAAAATGGATACTTCCTCATTGCCGTCCAGTTGGAACTATGCTGTATAAAAACAAAGCACTTAGGAGTCCATTTGTGAAAGTAAGTTTATGTGCTGCTATTTCTGTTGTGAATCTCAAAATACAGTCTAGCATATAACATGTTTTCAAATGGTGATCTCTGCTTAGTCTGGTCCAAATGCGGTCCTTCAAATAGAGATTGATGATCCTGCAATACAAGCTCTGGAGTTTCTTATTTTTGATGAAGCCCATAATAAATGGTAAAAGCAATTTTTTGTTTAAAAAATTTATGGGTCTGTATATTGGAGCATGTTTGCAGCAATTTTCTTTTTTCACATTCTCAGGTACAAGTACAATGGGGGTAATTTCCATGTTACATTACCTAAGACAGATACAAGGGCAATAGATGTTTCTGTTCCAGAGGATCTTGTACAAATTCAAGCATACTTGAGGTGGGAAAGGAAAGGGAAGCAGAGTTACACACCAGAAAAGGAGAAGGTAACTGCTTAAGGAGTATAAATTTTAGGTTGAGAAGCTCATGGTTTCTTGGGATGATGGCCTACTATTTATTTGAATATAAAATTGTTGAGTTCAAGTCCCTGTTTCTGGTGGCACACGGATATTTTCTCTTCACTTGTCCTTTGATTTCACATTTTATTCTCAGTTGAATCAATTAAATAGCAGCATGTGTATTTACGAATGTTTGTACTATCACTGCATGGAAATTGTTAAATGATTTAAATGCATGCTTAAATGTTCGATCAGTAGCCCACCTATGCTGAATAAACTCAAATCATGCAAGAAAGCTGAATCTGCAAGAGTTTTCTGAACCTTATAAATGTTAGGATTTTTTCACACAATTATGTATTGCTTTTGGCATCTAATATATAACACTCTTTTCTTTTGGTTGTTACTTATAGGTTTTTGTTAATTGATCATGTGCGTACGCAGGAGGAATACAAAGCTGCTCAAATGGAGCTGTTGGAAGAAGTAGCTAGGGGTACATCCATAGAGGATCTTCAAAAGAAGTTATTGAACAACAATAATACAAGCGAGAGCAAGGAACAGCTTGTTTCTGCTTCAAAGAGCACTATACCTGATGATCTGGTTCAGATACAAGCATATATAAGATGGGAAAAAGCTGGAAAGCCAAACTATTCTCCTGAACAGCAACTTGTAAATATCACACCTTGAATATGCTCACTTGTGAATTATCTCTCAATATTCATGTTACTTGGTACTAAATCCGATTGGCATTTTACTGCTCATTGAGACCTTTTAATCCAGTTATCTTTATTTAACAGAGAGAATTTGAAGAAGCCAGAAAAGAGTTGCAGGCTGAATTAGACAAAGGTGCTTCCCTTGACGAAATACGAAAGATAATCACCAAGGGAGAGATACAAACAAAGGTTTCCAAGCAATTGGCCAAAAAGAGATATTTCACCGCAGAAAAGATTCAGCGAAAGAAAAGAGATACAATGTCACTTCTCACTAAATTTACTCCAGTGCCAGTTGAGGAAAAAGCCTCTTCAGCTCCAGAAGTTTTCTCTGCAGTCCAACAGTTCTCCAGGGAGAAAGAAGATCACATTAATGGCTCTGTAGTGAGCAAAAGAGTTTATAAGCTTGGTGACAAGGAACTCCTGGTATGCGTGGCAATATCTATCGTTTTTTATTTCATATTTACCATCTAGCTGAAGATCTCTTGTTCATTATTACATTTATTCTTTGAAGGTGCTTGTAGCAAAGCACCCGGACAAGACACAAATTTATCTGGCTACAGATCTTCCACAGCCTGTTGTTCTTCATTGGGGCTTATCTATGAGACCTGGAGAATGGGAAGTGCGTACAAAAGCTTTTGAATATTTTTCCAGGGCCGAGTAGCAATTTGATGGAAAAACTTAGTATGTTTTTGCTTGTGTTGTATATTATGATCTGAGTATGTTAAATGTCTGGATATTATACAGGCACCTCCTTCCACTACATTGCCCCCTGATTCAGTCTCTCAAGACAAAGCTGCTGAAACAAAACTCACAACAAGCTCGTCTGATGATCAACCTGATAAGGTTTGGCTGACAAAATCTCATATGTTCCCTACTTATGTCTAAATGGTGCAAGGCTAAATATATTTACTTCCTCAACGATTTTCAGGTCCAATCATTAGAAATTATAATTGAAGATGACAAGTATGTGGGGATACCATTTGTTCTTTTATCTGATGGAAACTGGGTGAAAAATGGAGGGTCTGACTTTTATATTGAGTTGAACACTAGCCCTATGAAGGTTAAAAAGGTTGTTATCTCAATCCTTATGGTTCTTATTTCTCCATTATACTTGTTACAAGGTATCATCTGCTGTTTCTACTTTGTGTACAGCAGGATTTTGGAGATGGGAGAGGAACATCAAAGTCTTTGTTAGATAAAATAGCAGAGTTGGAAAGTGAAGCCCAAAAGTCCTTCATGCATCGGTGATGAGTTTATTAATATTTCCGAAGCTTAGAGTTCAGCACTTCCTGCATATCTGTTATTCCTTAATTGCTCAAATTATTGCTACAAAATGTTGAACAAATTCATTTAAATGCCCACTCTAGCATCTTTTTCTTGATTTATTGGATTGGATAAAATATGTAATTTTGTGTGTCCGTGTATGTGTGTGATATACATTTAGCTCTGGAAGTTCCTGATGAGTTTTGTAATGTAACTTACCAATGATAATAGTTGCTTTTGAAGTTTTTAACTCAGTTGCAGGCCCAATAATTGACATATTCGGTTTTGGAGCTTAAACTTCTTTCAATGAGTGAGTTCTGAGTGAACTTGACTCAGGGCTGCTTCTTTGAGTTTGCATCTTTAGTTCTGCTTAGCTTCAGCTTGAGAAATGTGACAATCTTAGTTTTGAATGCCATGTGAGATTTTTTATGTCTACGTGCAAGAATCACAGTGATGGACATCTCAAACCTCATTATGTGTGGATGATGATGATGACGATGATGTTCTGTTATTTATTCCCGATGAAAATATATTTATTGTGCTGTGAGTACGCATGTGATTTTATGTTAAATGATTAAAACTTACACTGCCTCTTACAGATTCAATATTGCAGCAGACCTGATGGAACAAGCATCCAGTGCTGGTGAACTAGGTCTTGCAGGAATTCTTGTTTGGATGAGATTTATGGCAACGAGACAGCTGATTTGGAACAAAAACTACAATGTAAAACCTCGGTAGGACTCCTAAACCGTGCTTTTCTCCTTCAACAGATATGCAAAGATCTTTGTAATTTCAGTTATGTATTTTCCTTCATCACAATCTTCATATCTAAGGCCACCAATTGTGGTCGTAAGAATTTGTTTCTGTAAGTTATTAGTGAACAATGCTTTCGATTTCATAATTAAATAAAATAAGATAAATAAAGAAGAAGAAAGAGAAGAAGAAGAAAAAAAAAATGCTTATGTGTGTTTTATTGATCTTCTCTTTCAATTAGCAAAGATATTCTTATTCTTTATTTTGACTGGTGCAGAGAGATAAGCAAAGCTCAGGACAGGCTAACAGATTTGCTACAGAATCTCTACATAGCATTCCCACAGTATCGAGAAACTTTACGCATGATCATGTCAACTGTTGGCCGCGGAGGTGAAGGAGATGTAGGACAAAGAATAAGGGACGAGATATTAGTCATTCAGGTGTTCTTTTCTTAGGAGTTCCTTTTGTATCATGCTTTTATTTCTTGGGGTCTTCGGTTTATAATGGTGAGGAGTTTTGTAATCAATTGCAGAGGAAAAATGACTGTAAAGGTGGAATGATGGAGGAATGGCATCAGAAGTTGCATAATAACACTAGTCCTGATGATGTTGTGATCTGCCAGGTATTTATATTATCAGTAAACTATTATCTTTTGCCTGGTTTATTATAATAACTATACTCCCAAAAAAACCTTTATATGTTACATTTATGATTTTCATCACGCTTATTTGCTGCAGGCATTAATCAACTATATTAAGGATGACTTTGACATTAATGTTTACTGGAAAACCTTAAATGATAATGGAATAACCAAAGAGCGTCTTCTTAGTTATGACCGTGCGATACATTCCGAACCAAATTTTAGGCAGGATCAGAAAGAAGGACTGCTGCGTGATCTTGGACATTACATGAGAACATTGAAGGTTAGAGCCGCAATCATGTTTCATGTCTTATTGGAATTTGGAAATCGACACTGGATTTTAGTACTAATCTAAGCACTATTTATTAAAACTAGTAAATAGTAAAGTGCACGTGCGATGCACGTGGTGGTGAATGTTTTTTGGCCGATTAAGTTTAGTATAATAAATAATGATCCCAAAAACCCAAACAGAAATTCACACAAAGTAAATAATGGTAATTGGAATCAATAAATCCACTAAATTACAATGTAGTTTAATTTGATCTCCGTAGGAATTGCTAATGAAAATTTTCAATGAAAGTTGTACCAATGAAGTATGAGTTGGAATTTGGAATTTTAGTGCCTTTTTTTATATTCTTTCTTAATTATTAAAATATTATGCAATAGTTTTTGTTTTTATTTAATTGTATTTATAATTTTTCAATTAAAAAAATATATTAAATAAATTAACTTTTTAGTTCATTATTTTATCTGGAGATTAACTATTAATTTATGAATTACATTCTTACATATTAAATATTAAATAATGAATATAGTTACTATTATGCATATGTAATTTGATATTATATATTATATTAAAAAACTAATAGAAAATTAAAAGTTATTTAAAACTACAATAATCAAGTTTTTCCAAAATTTTAAAAGTTCATATTCTACGCGGATAAAAGTACAAATAACTATTGTCTATCACCTAAAACTTAAATTTATAATTAATAAGCACAAAAATTAATAAAGGTTTAACAACTCAGCTCGTTTGCATCGATAAATACAAGTTTTATATTACTATTTTTCAGTATTTATTTTTAAGTGTTACAACTTAATTATATTTTTAATATTATTTATCAGATTTAATCTTTTTTTACTTTATATTGTTCTTTCATATGGTTTTATTATTATTCTTATTATTATTAATACTAATACTAATAATACTACTACCACCACTACTACTACTACTACTACTACTACTAATAATAATAATAATAATAATAATAAAGACATATACACACACACATATAACTTTTTGTTAAAAAATGCATAAAATTATGTATAGAACTTTTTAGGTCATATAACTTAATAAATATCAATTATTTGTATATCTTTATATTATTATATAATTATCTTTTCTCAATAATACTATACTTAAATATATAATTATTTTATTGCGATACATTTTTTATTGAAAACATTGCTTTATTATAATAATACATATTAATAGTCAGATGAGTAATAGTAATATATCAATATAATTTCTTGGTAAAAATAATTAATTTTCAACATATATAGGCATATCATGATTCTCGACATATTGTTAATTAATTTGTAGTTAATCATATGAACAAAATTAAATCATGTTTTTGCTCAAGTGGTATCCCATTCGACGTGAAAACAAATGACTTAACTTTTACTATTAAAAATTTAATTGTTCTAATCTTATTTCAAGCAAAGAAATTATGTAGATACAAGTTAGGTTGCAAAACAATAATTCAACAGTTAACCTCATACATAATTTATTTTTTTGTAGGTTATTTTGAAAAATATCGTTTCCATACTTTTTGGTCGTTACGAGGATAAACAATATTGATTTTATATATTTTATTTATATTTATTAATATATTTAGAAAATTAAATAAATATTGTTGAAACAATTATCTTATATTTATAATCAAATAATCTCTCAAATTTCATTGAGAAAACTATAATAACATTCAAGTATCTTAAGATAAAATCAATAAATAAAATATTTAATATATAAAATTTGTAATTCTCAGTGTGTATTTAACGCCCATCTCGAAAATCAATGGCTCAAATAAAGTAATAATAATTATTAAAATATTATGATATATTTTAGTTAATTATCGAATGAAATAGTTGAAGTATTTTAAGTGTTAATAATTAGAATTTTACTTTGATATTAACCACCTTATGGTCTGGCGAAGATTCGTTAGCTTTATTGACTTTAGGATCAAAATTGAAAAAAAAAAACAAATAAATAAATGACGATTTTGTCAACCTTCATATCAATAAGACTAAGTTGTAATTTCTAATTCCAATTAAGAGTTTATTTGTCTTAAATAATGAATTAGTTAAATGAATTGTTCCACTTTTCTAGTTTGTTAAATTATGTATATATATTTCATGTGTGCATGATTTTTGGTAAAATATTATGTAAATTCTTAACTAAAATTAAGTGTGTAAATTTGAAATTATTTAATATATACAAGTTACCCCTCAGCTAAGTTATCATTTTTTATCTAGATTTATCATTTTGCTAAAATTGTAGATAGTTAAATAAATAATTGAAAGTATTTAGATTTTTTATAAGCGTTTATTATTATTACTAGTTATCATCCTGTGCACATGCACACAAATATTATAAATAATATGTGTGAATTTAATATTAAAATTATAGATGATAAACATATCACGTTTTCAAGATATGTGAATTTAATATTAAAATTCTAGATAATAAACATGTCACATTTTCAAGATATGTGAATTTAATATTAAAATTTTAGATAATGAACATACCACATTTTCAAGATTTAATCATTAGTAAAAATTAAATGATATTTATATTAATTATTTGAATACATATGAATCACTATATTGATTAAAAAAAATTGTGGGTAATTTAATTTTTATAATTTGAAAACTTTATTATTATTATTATTATTATTATTATTATTATTACTATTCTTATTACAACGACAATTGTTTATAAGATTTTAAAGTTTTTTTTACTATACTATTAAAACTAATTACTAATTGTTTCTAAAGAATATTGTTTCCTGAAATACAAAATAATAATAATAATAATAATAATAATAATAATAATAATAATAATAATAATAATAATAATATCATTCATAAAATCTAATTAAGTGTAATCATGTATTTATAAAACTTAATTAATAAAACCTCATTTATTTCTATCTAAAAGAAGTTACAAAATTTGTCTTTCATATTTTGCCTTTCACATTAATACACCCTATTAAGTGTAATCATGTATTTTTTTGCTATTATATTATATAATAGTTATTACCAACTCATAATATTTCACACTAAAATATAAATTACATAAGTATAAACAATTTTATTGTTTCAAGATATTATTATTATTATTGTTATTATTATTATTATTATTATTATTATTATTATTATAGTAGTTAATGCTATTTTTTTGCTATTATATTATATAATAGTTAATGCTATTAATTTTTTTACATGATTACACTTAATAGAGGTGTATTAATGTGAAAAGCAAAATATGAATGACAAGTTTTGTAACTTCTTTTGGAGGGAAAATAAATGAGGTTTTATTAATTAGGTTTTATTTATGAGGTTTTATTTAATGATTAGCAAGCAATTATATATATATAGATTATTTTTTTTTGTTGGATCAATTTTCTTTATAAAAATTTTATATATTATATTATTAAATGTGACTATGATTTTACGATTAAAATTATATTTAAAATAAGAACATATTCAAAACAACAATTTTATATCATCAAAGCTTTATTGTTATGTTGTGTTGAATTATGGGAGATATGGAAGGAAATAGTTTGGGAATACGTGGAAGAAAGCAAATTTGTGAGGAATAATTGTGCGAGAATATTGTGGTTGACTTTTAGGACATGTAGAATATTTTGCTTGTGTATTTGTATTTAATTAATTAAATATCAATTAAAAATATAAGGTAGGATGGGTATTAGTGTATTACTACTTTTTGATTAAAAATATGTCAAAGTAAGGGTTCTTAGGTAGTTCATTTTTTTACAGTATATTTTTATTTAATTAATTAAATATAGTTACTAATTACATATAAGATAGGATGTGTATTACTAATTTGCCATTAAAAATATGTCAAAATAAGAGTGTTTATTTTAGGTTCATTTTTTTTACAAAACATACATCCTTTTTTAGTGTAGTATAGATGCATGTAAATTTCTGAAAATAGTCTTTAAAATTGGAAGTCCAGTGTTTTTATTGCCTGTAGGAGCTTTGTGACAGTTTTTCTTGATAACTATCATGTGAATCAACGTGTAAGAGTTTTGAAAATTCATAGAATTTCCAGTTTTTCCAATTTACTCGTGCACTCCTTTTTCCTTCATAATTTCTACTTCATCATGTACACTTGCAGGCAGTTCATTCGGGCGCAGATCTTGAGGCTGCTGTCGCAAATTGCATGGGCTACAGTGCTCAGGTAATTCTGAACAAATTTCGTCATTTAGCAATCTGTCTCTCATTTTTTTTTTTATCTCATTGCTCTGATGTAAGTGGTCGTAAATTCCCATCAGGGAGAAGGATTCATGGTGGGAGTGCAGATAAATCCAGTGGCTGGCTTGCCAGTAGGATTCCCGGTACTACATTAGTTCTAATATCGAATTGTTCTTTGAATAATACATTTAGTAACATATTGTTAATTTTTCATAATTGATTAAACAGGAACTACTTCAACTTGTTCTAGCACACATCGAAGGTGAGAATGTGGAAGCCCTTCTTGAGGTATGTTTTTTCTAGTAGTTCATTTATGTCCTCCTTTCTTTTTTATTTTTTTTATTTTTTTATTTTCAATTCATTCATTCTTCTTTTTTTAGTGGATTGGAGAGAAAGGCTATGCAGGCCTTATACTTGAAGCATTTTCTATCTGTTTCTTTGTTATGGAAAATATCTGCTTTCAGGGATTGCTTGAGGCTCGTGCAGAGCTTAGGCCATTGCTTTCCCAGCCGAAGGACCGCCTTAAGGATCTTATATTCCTGGATATTGCCCTCGACTCTGCAGTTAGGACAGCTGTTGAGCGTGGATATGAAGAATTGAGTAACGCAAGTCCTGAGGTATGTGGTAAACTTAATTTGTTGTCTTTGCTATTTTGATAACCATAACTAATTATTTCATGTAAACATGACTTTACACATCTTTTCCCCGACTCCGCAGAAAATAATGCACTTCATCTCTCTTCTTGTTGAAAACCTTGCTCTTTCGGTGAACAATAATGAAGATCTCATTTATTGCCTGAAGGTCAGATTTAATTAAACAGAAGTGCCAGTGTTTTGTTTGTTTTGTGCTTTTATGGCTCTGTCTTAAAGCTGCTAGCTTTCTTTAGAACTTTACAGTACATCGACACTGATGGACATTCTCTTTTAAAGGGTTCTTTTATAACTATTAAATACACGATATCAAATATTCACAAATCCACCCCTCAAAACTAAACAGGAACATCCAAAAAGAATTATCAAGAATTAAAAAACTAAAACCAATAACTTGCATAACTAAAACAAGGAACACGATAATGGAAAGCATTTACGAAAATCAGTTTTTGCCTGCAATGTTCATGATTACATTATACAATGTGATATCAGTAAGTTTGAAGATAACTAGGTCTTTCGTAACCAAACAGAACCTCAAAGGAAATATTAACAATCGACACAATGGTTTTTATAAATTTTAAGAGAAGAGACCAAATTGCCCGACCTACCTTTCATAATTGTGACAAGTAGTTTCAGCTTGGTGTATGGCTGTTCTGTGTGGATTGACATGTTCTGACAAATGATTGTCTTGAGATGGGAAGATCTTATGCATTCTTGATAAGATTATACATGGCTTTATCTCTGAGTAACCACTAACTTGTGATAATATGAACCAAAATACATATGGACCGAACTTGATTTATTTCATATGATACATTTAGCCACACATGTAATCTGTTGTTGGTCTGTTAGCCTGCCCATGTTCAACATAACTCATGGGGAGTGGAGAAAGAAAAGCATTAAATTATATATAAGGTGGTCTAGAAAAAGTGAACAAATTACATTACCCATGTCATTAGGAAGAAGTAATGCCGTTTTTCCTTGTATTGGAGTATTTTCTAGAATATAGGCTTTGGGGAGAATCTAATGCCAATATGTAATAATCCTATTCCTTCTTCAAATAACCCAGGGATGGAACCAAGCTCTAGACATGTTAAAGAGCAGAGACGATCACTGGGCATTATTTGCTAAATCGGTCCTTGATAGAAGTCGTCTCTCACTTGCAAGCAAAGCTGAATCGTATCATCATCTACTGCAACCATCTGCAGAGTATCTTGGAGCGCGGCTTGGAGTGGATCCATCGGCAGTATGTCACTATGACACTGTTTCGTTTGGAGACTTTATACTGTAACATTTTAAAGTTAACACCTGATGTCGGTGCATGCAGGTCAATATATTTACTGAAGAAATTATTAGGGCTGGATCAGCGGCTTCATTATCTTCCCTTCTTAATCGACTTGATCCAGTTCTTCGCCAAACTGCTCATTTGGGGAGGTAGATCTTTTTTCTTGCTTTTGTTCAGGATAAAAAGAATTAGAATTCTTACTTTTGCTGAATCAATCCAAGTACTTTGACAGTTGGCAGGTAATTAGTCCAGTTGAAGCTACTGGGTATGTTGTCGTGGTGGATCAGTTGCTCTCTGTTCAGAATTTATCTTACTCAAAACCCACAATATTGGTTGCAAAATCTGTTAAAGGAGAGGAAGAAATTCCTGATGGTGCAGTGGCTGTGCTGACCCCGGACATGCCTGATGTTCTTTCACATGTTTCTGTTCGAGCGAGGAATAGTAAGGTTGTACTTTGTTTTCCCCCTTTGGGATGCTCAGATCAATTTTTGGAAAATGCACCAGTGTAACCCCATCAGAGCTCTCTTTTAGGTTTGCTTCGCAACATGCTTTGATTCCAATATATTGGGCGAAATCCAGACAAAGGAAGGAAAATTGTTGTGCTTAAAACCTACATCTGCAGATGTGGTATATAGGTAATCTTGGGGATCATACCATCTGTTCATGTATTCTATTAGTAAAGAAACATAAAAGTTTTCAGTTCCTTGCTTCCTTTATTCTTTTATTTTTCTTTTGATCCCTTTTGCCCTTGTTTCAAGAAACGTCAATCTCAAAAGCATACAACTTTTGGTTATGTGAAGGCAAAAAATGAAACTCCACTTGTTAATTTACTGCAGTGAGGTGAACGATGATGAGCTAATAAGTTCAAGTAACTCTAACAAAGGTTCATCTGTGCCATCTGTGACTTTGGTTAGAAAGATGTTTGGTGGGAGATATGCAATATCATCTAATGAATTTAACAGCGAAATGGTAAGCCCCTTGTACTCATCTATATCACTTATATTTGATAATTTCTCGCTTTTGTCCTCGTGTAAATGTCCTCGCGTTTGTTATTTGTTAGAATTTTGAAATTCTAAAATTCCATTGAAGATTCTTCTACAAACATGAGAAATAAAATGGAGTCATATGTCCAGGTCGGAGCCAAATCTCGCAATATCGCACACCTTAGAGGGAAAGTCCCATCTTGGGTTAATATTCCAACATCTGTTGCTTTGCCGTTCGGTGTTTTTGAAGCAGTCCTTGCAGATGATATAAACCAGGTACTCTTTCTGAACTTACTTTCAAATGCATCCACTGGCATTGCCCATCATCCTCAAATTTGGTTTTGTTGCCAAGAATTTTCTGGGAGATTCTAGTTCTGCCCATCATCCAAGAATTTTTCTGGGAGAAGAGTCATTGGGAGAAGAGTCATTGTTGACAATTCTCCTGGCATAGTGCAAATAATGGACTAGATCAAAATGGCTCAATTAAATTCTAGTGCTTCTTCTATTAGTGAAGTTTCTAGAAAAAAAATATATCGAACGACGCAACGCACCTTGGGTCGTTATGGAAACAGCCTCCTTGTATAATTACTCCTTGTATAATTATAAGGGTAAGGTCTGCGTACAACTGACCCCCCAGACCCCAACCTGTTGGGAATATACTGGGTATGTTGATGGGTATGTTGATGATGATGTTGATGATGATTCTAGTTCTGCCCATTTTGTACATTTGGCTTGACCTGTTTAAAGGAAACCTTTTCTGCCGAATAATTATAACATAAAATCATACTTCCTATTATACCTGGGTCCTATATGGAAGACCTGCACATTGCCTGAAGGAAGTTCCACTCGTGCTGTAAGATGTTATTTTAAGCAAGAAAAATTTTAAATCTCTTTTGAGCAGAAACTGTGATCTAAACGTTGGAAAATTACTGAACAGATGTTTTGTGGGAATAATTTTCCTCGTAAGTCGGCATCTGTGAATGGAGTTCTTTAATAAACTGAAAATATGAAATTACCACTCTATGATTCTGCAAGGTTGCAATATAATTAATCAACAATATAATTAATCAAACATATACTGCAGGATGTGGCCAAAAAATTGCAAGTTCTGAAGCAAAAATTAGTTGAAGGAAACGTCAGTGCCCTTGGTGAAATTCGAGACACCGTCTTAGAACTTTTAGCCCCAATACAATTGGTATGTCCCTTCTTGTGTCACCGATTGTTCGCACTTCCTTTTCCAATATTAGATATGGATACAAGAATTCCCAGTTCCCGATTTAAAATTTGTCCTTTTAGTACCCATGGCTGTTTTATTACTCATTTGCGTGGACCAATAGTTCCCCTGTCTAGAGTTAAAACATAGTGATTAGTTGCACTATATTATTTAAGACAGTTGGATAAGATGCCAGAAAATCACATATATTGGAAAAATAAATGAGGATGTCCATATGGCAGAGGTGTATTTTACTCAAGTGACGTGTCTCAGGTTAAAGAGCTTAAAGAAAAAATGCAGAGTTCTGGCATGCCTTGGCCTGGTGATGAAGGTGAAACGAGATGGGCACAAGCATGGATGGCCATAAAGAAGGTGAACATGAATTTAGGGAAAAAGAAAAAGCTTCAAATATTCATGTGTTCTGTGGAAACACGTGGTTATACAACTGATTTACATAGCTAACTTGTTTCATAATTTCTGCATCTCCTAGGTATGGGCTTCGAAATGGAATGATAGGGCATACTTCAGCACAAGGAAAGTGAAACTTGATCATGATTATCTTAGCATGGCAGTTCTTGTCCAAGAAATCATAAATGCTGATTATGCATTTGTTATCCACACCACTAACCCATCTTCTGGGAACTCATCAGAAATTTATGCTGAGGTAATATATGCTACAACAAAGAGATGATGAATTTTAGGCATAATGTTTCTCCAATTGCCAGGAATACCACTCACTTGAAAATTAACGAATCACATCAAATGCAATGAGCTGTTTAATAATAATATGTGAGAGAAAATAGGTAATTGCATGTGCTTCTATTGTAGATCATCAAATTCGTAATATTCTCCAAGACAACATTTACATGTTTACATGTCTCCTGGAACAGGTTGTGAAGGGTCTTGGGGAGACCCTGGTTGGAGCTTATCCAGGTCGTGCATTGAGCTTTATTTGTAAGAAAAATGATCTCAGCTCTCCTAAGGTATGTTATGTTATTGATACGAGACTTGATTCCATATCTAAATATCCTCTCCTTAAGACAAATAAATTTTCTCAAAACATATAGTTGTAAGGATTGTAGTTCAAGTCATCTATGAGTGAATCATAAATTATAGTCATTCATTTAGCTAGTAAATCTGCATTTTTCTGTCTTGTTTACGGCTTCCCTAAATTCTTATACGAAGTATTTTATTTTGTACCTCTGCGAAGCCATACATACTGGTGCAGTATGTGATTTTACCAATTGTGTAAATTGACAATTTAGTGGCGTTACATATTGTGTAGAATTATTTGATTACAGTAACTGCTGAAATGAAGCATCTCCCTGAAATTTTCTAGGTTTTGGGTTACCCTAGCAAACCCATTGGCCTTTTCATAAGGCAGTCAATAGTTTTCCGATCAGATTCAAATGGTGAAGATTTAGAAGGTTATGCTGGTGCTGGCCTTTATGACAGGTAATGTTTTCTATATAGTCATTGTTTCCAGTAGTAGGTTATTTCTTCCATTGCAGTATTAGCTTTCTTTAGTCGATGTAGGATTTCACTTACTGAAAGAAAGGTAGAAGAAAAGTATCTCTACACATATACTTGAATGAAGTGAACATTTTTTTTTTTT